TTTTATTAACTATTTGCTGAGGGGCTTGACGGACTAAATCTAAGCACCAACAATACCCGGGACGAAACAACAAAATTTCAGAACCTTTTATTTGGTCAGAAGGGATTTTAGGCCCAGGGGCGCTTGTATAAGGGATCAATCAATTAATGTAGAATAACGGGAGATGAATAGAACGTATTGTACTGTGATAGGTATAAAACGTACTAAACAAATCGAGCTTAGACCCCCTCGTTCATTTGAATCACTCCTCTCGCCAATGAATACATTACTGGAGAATAAAACCCCACATTGTCATTTATAGCCAAATGAACCATTCACTTCGACTTCAACAAGATACTTTCTAGGATATTTATTCCAACATAGAAGGAACTGATAGAAACTTTTACTCATAACTAAAATTCAAGCATCAGTAGTTCTATTTAACATTTCAGAAATGGCCGCATTGCGTTTTATTCCCAGGTAACGTGGTCCGGCTATAAGCAAACTTAAAGTGCCTTAAATTTCAAATAATTCCATTATTGCTTTGAAAGTCTATAGAAACAAGTTAATTTGTTTCATAAATAGTAACAAAATTAAAGAAATAACAAACCCCGGGTGCTTATTTTGCTAAAATAGCGCGAGAAATGCTTGTTCGGGTAGAAGCGATTCCATAGCGAGAACGAATAGGTGAAAATAAACGCATTGGTAAAGATAATACAAATTGTTTGTAATTGGTGCATTATACTTATGTAATGCATATTACAGTTGCGAGTTTTTCCATTCTGCTTCCAAGAAAAACATAATTATATGTAAAATTGTAGATAATTATACGCAATGTATAAAATTCAATTGTACGCAAATGTAACATAATATAATGAACACTAAAAGGTTTATTTAACGTATCACACTTATATCACACGTATATGTAAGTTACGTATGCAATTAAATTGAGAAGCCTGGATATTTTTGAACTGTTGTGGATTTCTCCTTTCGGACAGACTCTCGTCCAGTTGTGTCATTCAGCTTTATTAAAACATTCTCATATAAACTGATAAAGTACTTAAAAATTGCAAACATGCAAAAATGCAAATATTTCATCTCTTTTCCTTAAAAAATATACCTCACTTTTACCAAATATTCTCGGATACTAATTGTTGCACAGACTTGAACTCGACCCTTTGAAGAAATCTGTGACCAAACGTCACAAAATTCAAAGGTCAAATTCACTTTCTTTCCTCCGATTTGGAAGGTCAGTGTGCCATTGTTACTAAAAAGGCAAATAACAAGTAGCCCAGAAAAATGCCATTTTATAAGTTGTAGAAAGTTCGCTACGCTTACAGTGATGGTTTCATAATAAACCCGATAAAAGATTACTGAACAATGAATGAAAAGTTTTCAAAACTGTAGAAAAACATGGATTTATTAGTGGGTGTGGTGTTATGCCCCGTTAGAGACCTTTATGTGTTGACCAGAACCAAATTACCCCAAGTCATAACAATCTTTGCTTTATTTCTAAATTCATCAACCAGCGCGGCACTTTGAAGTACAAATATGCTCAAGACCACAGAGAAATCTCTGAGTAAGTTTCCGTAAGTTCTAAACAATTAGATATATTATCGGTATGTTTTCTTAACAGCTTCCGAATGAATACATCCAAATTGATTTAATACATTGGCTTTAGAGTGATTCTTAAAGTCCAAGGTTTCTGTTTGCTTGATTCTAAAAGCGTTTCTTTAAACAAGTATTTTAATACATAAATCATGTATTGACCATTTTGTGAAATTTAATAGTTTAATTGAGCTTTAGTTGATGAATTTAAAGCCCTCGGAAACCCCTCAAGTACGTGTACACCGTAGGATGATGTTATATATTGAAGGGCCCTCCAGTTGACGGTTTGGATGCATGCCTATGGGCCTGCCAACGGGCATGCCAGCCATTACATCATTCGACCTTTCAATGCATCGAATCACCGAACGTGCTGCAGTGATACAGATGCAACAAAGATAAACAACAAATAATATAACATAACATGTTTGTACACGTTATTGTGAATATTTTGATTAAATATTTCAATCACATATCATATATTACCCTGTAACTATGTATATATTTGTAGTTTGCTATATAACTAATAACAAATATCATCATAAATAAATATTACAGATATTAATATTAATGCATGCACCGATTTGATGGCATATAATTGCATTTTTAAAAAATCACTTTAAGTACAGTTCATCTCTATCAACTGGTAAACACACAATTTTGATTTTGTTCTTTCTTGTGTAAATATACATTTGCTTAAAGTGTCACTCATTCATATGTTTCAAATGCATTCTCCTTGTGTCATTTTGAAATAAATAAAACATAAATATAAAAACACAAAACATCATTGATTAATATATGAACGACCAAAACGTGGTTCGCCAGAAAAAATTGACGTTTGAATTTTTTGTATCTGTCAGGTGTCAAAACACTTTAAGATATGATAATTGTGTTCCAGAATGCTCCATATGGTGTGTCTATTATCCTGATAATTCAGACTTCAAATTGATGGCTTTTTGATACTTGGTGCGTTTTTTATCTGTCCATTTTTAATTCAATTAAACAGTTTAGTTGGTGGAATTTCAAAATATGCTTGAAGCAGAATCAGATCTTTAGGAAGTGACAAAATTGCAAGCAATATGTACAATTGATCTACCAATGTATTCTTTACAAGCTCATATATAATATCTCCCAAAAGATCCACAATATGTTATCAATTTGTGAATTTAGATTCAAAGTGCAAAAATGGGGGAAAATATTTAAATTCTCCAAGATAATAAGAATGGTAACCATTCTTATAGACAATTGCATTATTGTAAAAATCTTAAGTTTTCCTCAGATAAAGTATATACATATATATATAAAGTACATATGTATATAAAGTATATACTTTAATGGTATATGGTTTATAATGGTAACCATTATAGACGAATGATTGCATTAAAAATCTTAAGTTTTCCTCAGATAAAGTATATACTTGGGATATTTTTAGAAAATAGACATGACAAGGAATGATATGAGCCCAAAAAATTCTAAAATTGAAACACTTTTCGATAAGATGAAGCACCAAAGTAATTGCTAGATCTGATTCTGCTTTTAATATGTGAATATATGATTTAATATGGTTTGTGTTTTTTCGCTCATAACTTGATAATAGCCTACAATTGTATATCTAGATTTATTGAGAGCTCAAATGTTGGATAGCATTTTAATTATTTAAATCTTAATCAGTTTAACAGAGTGAATAAGCATTAATTCCATCAAAGTTTCCATCTAACCATACCACTACAACAACAATATATTCATTCAATAGGTGGATTTAAAGATTTTGGCATGTTGTCTAATTGAAACATGTACATACAGTACAATCATTGAGTGCATCATTAACTGCCATATACATGTGTGATGAAAATTACCCTGCACGCAGTCTTCCCTTGAGTGTAGATGAAGCTCTCTTTTAAGAAGTGAAGACGGACGAATGCAAAAGTAGATGAAAATATTAATAAGATAACAACAAATATTGTTTTAAATAGATGGTGCAGTTGTACGGTATCAACTCATGAATGGACACAAAGGATCATGGCAGACTAATATATATGTAGAGTGCTGCCATCTATTGAAGCAAAAATTAAAATTATCATATTTGCTGGTTGATGAGGACGTGCATTTTTGTGTTCACATTCAAATGGTTTTGTATTGATTTATTGAAACGTTTATTTTATCTAATTTTAGAGATATTATAATCTTATGTTAAAATGGCTGAAATATAACAAATCATATATTGAGAAAAATGGACTGAGATCTGAGATGTGTCAAAACTCAACGCAGATTCAGCACCAGGCTAAAAGTTTAAATAAAAAAATGATCCAAAAATCTAAAATGAAACTTCCCTATTAAACAACGATAAAATTTAGCAGAACTATGAACATGTGTCTGAAGTACAATATACAATTATTGACCTCTCCAGAGGTTTACTGTCAAAATTATATCCCGAGACTGTAAACCGAGACCGTAGGTCGAGGTTTACAGTCGACGTCATTAATGACGTCATTTTAGTGGAATGCTGGGAATATTATTCACCGGCAATGCATTGCGCGGTGTCCAGTTAAAATTATTCACCGCTCGTTGACCAATCAAAATCGAGTATTTCAACTGAGGTACTAACAATATATTCTGTCTGATAATATAGATACTACAGTAAACTTGAGTAAAGGGGTGACACGGGTGAATTGAGTTAATCAGAGAAGTTTCAAGTTTGACCCGAGGACCGACTTCTGATGAACCATTCACGCACACACGTTACCCTAGGCCAAGAGTCAAATTATAAACAATATCAAATAATTTTAATTCCAAATTGCATTTTTATTTATAATAATTCCTTATCTATTTGTTGTTTTACAAACAATGCTTGTTACGTAAATGTTTATTTTAATTATAAGCTATTCTTAAAATTACTTGAGCAATGGGGTTCAATGTGTCGGAGATACTGAGATCCGATGTTGATACCCGAGGAAATTCAAATATTGCAGCATAAATAATAAATATCATATTCTATGTATGATCCCCACAAGTTGCAATTTCAATTAAAAATATAAATTTTCTATTTCCATTATTAAATTTTTTGCACCAATCCTCTTGAGTTCCTCTTTCCAGATGCTTGATTGGATCCATTAATATTTCAACAATACACGTTTGAATCCATTTGACACTTTTGAATCCATGAGACACATTTGAATCTATGTGTCTTTGAGAATTTTTTTAAGTAGATGAATGAAAAGTTATCTATCCTCTATTCAAAATTCTGAAATATTCCAGCATCTCGCTGAACAGTGAACACCCAAGGAGGAGTAGCTCCCAGAGTGCACCATCTATATTCTGTCCCATATATGACCATGTCGTGATACAAAATTTGAATTCAAACAGCCGCCATTTTGTTCACTTCAACATTTGAATCGTGATATTTGGTCTTATTTCCCAACGAAAAATTCCAAAACTCACGAGAAATGATCGAGATATTGGTCCAAATCTTTTGGACTGTTTTGAATTTACTGTCGGTTATAATTTCAGAAAATAACGACATTTCAACGTTTTCATTGTTGGAAAATATCGAAGTTCGATCTCAAGAGCCAATCCTTGCTGAAAACCATTATATGCATTAAAATGCTCCCAAATTCTATTTCAAAATACACCTAACTGAATCAAGCCAGTGTTCAGTAAAAGGCATATAACTTCACCTATTGTGACCACTCGTTGCAACCATATCTCAGACCGTATTCCAGACTTAGCCTACCAGGTCAAGATTTTACTTTTTCCTCCGGGCATGCCATGATTCAAACTTTGTATAAGCAGTTGATAACAATTCGTCTAAATGCAGAGTTAACTGGAAATACACGTGGACAAGAGTCTTGAATGGCATCTGATTGACAGATACTACATTTAAAAAATGCAGAATTGATTGGTGAACAAAATCTCCAATTGAATTTTTGAAATATACAAAGTTGGTCCAGAAGAGATAAGAAGCTTGTTTGAGAATCAAGATTATGTACCGTATGTTAAAAAGGTTCAATATTATCAAAATGTGCTAGGTTTAAGTATACTCACATCTACTGGGCAGTGGTATTGGACTACTTTGTCTTTCAGAGGCTGTAGTTTAGCATGTTGAAATCTTTCTAAAGTTCCCCGCATCTTTACAACCTATAGCAAAAGAAACCTAGTAATTTCTAGGGGAGGACCAAATACCGATGAGCTTAATGTACAAGATACAGATGAACGTTATCCATAGAACTGAAACAAGTAAGGGATTGCTGCAGCAAAAGGCTTGTAACCAATCATATTAAAAATTTGAAGAAAAATGTGAACAACACTGACATATTTTAAATCAATCATGGTCAATTTCCATTTCAATTTCCAAGTTCCAAGATACCTCACTTTGAATTGTTCATGTTAGAAAAAAACATGTTAAACAATTTTAAATTTACTTTTTCACAAATTTCACATGTTACAATCAGTGACTTGATGCCAGGCTACACTGATTAAAAGAAATTTCTTTATATTGATTTCAATTGAACAAGGAATTAACATGCAAAATGTCACCACCTGCCATTTGTTATAAATGCCAAACACAGAACATCAACCACAGAACACCAACTGCAGAATGCCAAATACCAGCCACTGAATGGGAATGCCAAACACCATCCACAAAAAAACTTGAAACTATACAATACCACTTGTGTTAGTGACACAAAAATGCATACCTTTTCTTCTAAAAGTGGAGTTGTAGTTGGAAAACAAGACCAGAAGTGACGTAGAAGTTCACACAGAGCAGAGTATAGGTTCTTCACTTCCTGTTGTAGCTCAACCGACACCAAATCTACAAAAAGCAAAATATCTTGTCAGTTAACATTACTGTGAACTATAATGCTTTTACATAGCACTTAACAAATTTAGAGTCCATTACATTGTGATTGTTAGACGTTTTGTGAGGGTGGATAAGGTCACCTGATCACATCATTTATGTTGACAGGGAAGAAAATAAACTGCCATGAAACTACATTAGAACCTATGTAAGTGGAACGCCCTTGGGTTGGGACCACAAAAAATGTTCCACTTGTGAGGTGTTCCACTTACAGAGATGTCCAACTTAGCAGTTTCTACTGAATTAAAGTAGCAAAAAACAAAAAAAAATGAACAAATGAGACAAGGACTAAAGGTTCAAGCAATATAACTCAAAAAATGAACGAAACAAAATCAGGACATTTCTGAAATGTTATTCTTGGTTACCCTGTAGTTTCTGTTTGCTGGTGTTTTGCATTAGAATGCCACCTGGTGAGAGATCTGTTATTGCTGATACAGCCGCATTAGAACTGAGGACCTGCAATTGTAAAATGTAAAATATAACACCCCGTTTTTATTTTTCAGATTCCACTCTACTTGTGCTTCGGGATTCATATATTATTTATAAAGAACTGTTTTTGGAACTTGTGTTGACATCTATTGAAGTTTTGACTAAATGCACATCTTTGTCATTTTTTGGAGATTGATTTTTTTACTTAAGTATATTCATGATTAGATACCTGTTGATCAAATTGCGATAATATCTCAATTTTTAAGTATCAAGGGATACAATATATTTTCTCCTTATGCCTATTTGCTAAAGGTTCTAGACTTTTAATTCAAAAAAATCTTTGAAGTTTAAAGTGCTTAGAATTTATACTGTCTTGGCAATAATTCTGCAAATAGGACTTAGAATTACTTTAATGTTCTTATGTCTTTGACACAAATGTAATTTAAAGCCCACACAGATTTGCAGCAAAAACGCAATCTAAATACCTTTGAAAAAGCTGGTGACAGATTTCTCACATCATTTTTAAAATTTGAGATTGCTTCCTCCACTTCATAAGAAGTCATAAAGGTGGCATTATTAGCAGGTGTAGGGCCGTGTAGATAACGGTCTTGGTGCGTCAGATTTAGCGTTATTCCCTGGCTCGAGTTAGAAGCTTCAAGATCAGTGTATTCAATCTTCTCTTGTAATCTTGCCTACAAAAGTAACCAAACTCAATCATCAGGGAAAAACTACACTTGTCCAATACCAATACATTTCTCTTTTATGTTGCCATCAGCCATACATTTTTCATTTTACTCTTATGACATATGTATGACATATATCTTAAAGAAGGAGGGAAAGTATAGCAACAGATTTTTGACAGTAAATAATTTTTTTCTAGTAGTTTCTGGCTGTATAAAAATGAATGCATATGAAAGGCCAATGTATAATCTTTAAGAAAAATTCAAAGAATGGTTTCAAGATCAATTGGATTATCTCATAAGCCATGTTTAATCCACCCATCAACAAGCTTTTTTTCAAAATACAATCGTCATTTTCACCATCGTCCCTCATTTTTTTACAATTTTCATGCAAAGTTACATTGTACTTGAACACATGTTTCATCACTTAAAATATATAAGGAACTCCTTCTGGATTAGGATTATGATAATCCAGTATAAGGGGATCCAATGGGGCTATGCTTTTAGTACAGCACACTCATATAAGATGTCATTAGTGTGCCATGAAGTTAGTTCAAAATGTTTTCATAAATGAATGGTTGGACTTGTTTGATCCCCTGCTGTTTGATCCCCTGTTTGATCAATGGAGCATAACCTCAGCATTTCTGAATACCTGTCAAGTTGACTGTTTAATGTTTGAGTGCAGTTAAACCTGTGTGTGTGTGTGTGTGTGTAAGTTGCTAAATACCTCTCTTTATGATAATTTCTATGATGCCCTTATTATAGCATTTGCTTTGGACAGGTTTTCTGTATCTTGTTTATCAGTAATGATTCACGAGGTATACAGTGCTATTAAAATCATAAATACAGTACAAGAATTAAGTACATCATACCTTTGCAAATAATTTTAGTAAGACAAATATTTTGATCCAGCTTCTGAAAAAACATTGGACATGTTTCTATATGATGATGTGTTATAACACACTTCCTTAATTGAGTGAGTATATCTCCAGATTGATTATTCAAATAACACTGTATGTACAGAGATCGCCTAGTATTAAAAGTGGGTGATCAAAGACTCGACAAGATGCGCAAAAATCCAAAATGTCGGAGGAAAGGTATGTTTGTTTGTCTTCTCCTTACCAGTTTAAAGTCATTTTACCTACGGATGGTATTCCATATGCTGTATAAGAGACTCAAGATTCATTTGGTAACAGGATTCAGTGATTAAATCAACCGAAATACCTGAACTGAGTTGATAAAAGAAGCAAAATCAAAAACCCGTCGAACGAAAATGTATTTTTCACAAAATTTTCTGTTTTTAGATTGCCAAAACCACAAAACCAATATCATCTATGGTTAATATACATAAAACTTAACATTATATGCATATCAGACGTTCCAACTCCCCTTCAGTATCGAATTAGGAGGATGTTATAAAAAAAAATTATGATCAGCCAAGTGAGTGATTTTACCATGTGGATTCTAATGATATGTTCTTTGCATTTCAGAGTGGTTTTATTTACATGTTTCTATTGTCCTTCACTACGAACTGTTAAATTTCAAAACATTATAAATCACCTTATAGAACACCATGAAGATGAAATGATGAAGATGAGAAAGATTATTGAAAATAGAGGCAAATTTAGAATGATTACAAGAACTATGAGCTTGACAAGTAAAGATTTGGTTTTAATTATAAATCAAACAAATCTTTAATGTACATATGACCAAAGCCTAAACTGGAACTTTTCCTCAGCCCATCCACATAACGCTGTCTAGAATAGCATAGTATTTATTTCACTTTGTTTCTCTAAAAACGCCCACTGGGCGTTTATTTTGCATTCGATTACATACAATTCTAACATTTTCAAGCTAATCACCTATACACCTTAGTTGAAAATTGATCAACAAATCTTCTGAATATTGAACTATAGAGCAGCTTTCCCCTATACCTATCATTTACATATGACCCAAGTTAGCCACCTCGTGGTGAAACTGGGAACTGGCATCTAATGAAGGTCATTACATTTTTCAATAACTTATTGATACATTGCTGCAAAAGAATGATTTAACTCCCCAATGAAATAGAAAGTGTACAATTCAGATTTAATAAGTTTATTATGAGACCCCATGTCCATAACAACCACAATAATGTCAATGGGTGATACAGTGACATACATTTTCATTTATGATTTATTCAATTCATGCATTACAATTCGACAATCATCTTGGATGCCAAGGTGTTAAGTTTTCATACCTTGGAATCAGAGGGTAAAATGAATGGACTGAAATGTGACTTTAAAAACTGTTCCATTTATAAGGTGTTACGCTTCAAGAGGTTTTTCTCTTAGCAGTGTACAGTGTACATATCATATTGTATTCAAACATAGACAGAATAACAAAATATACGCACACAGTGACCATTTAATCGAATGAATCAATGAACGGTGATGTACATGTTTATTTTAATTTGGACATACATTTTGCATGAAACCCCATTTTTCTTCTCTTTAAAGCATATAGTGTATGATCTGCTGAAACTCACGCTATAGGCCGATCCATTCATTCTGTGTTAAAATATTTATTCCATATGTTATTTAAGAGGAAACGTGAACTTTATCATGGTCAAATGGAAGCCCAAGACCCTACCTAAGTATAAAAAATTAAAGTGAGTAAAAATCTTCTATTGTTTTTGATATTTTAAAGCTTTTTAAATAAAACAGCACATATTATATCGCATTTATATCTTTACATCGTATAATCAATCACATATACGAAAAATGGTCAAAGTAATATATATTTTTCAAAGCATATGGGTGTTCTTGTGCCTACAAAACCTTATTGAATCACCAGTAGCGTGTAATATAAACACAAATAAATCTTTTAAAAATAACCGTTACAAGATATTTGAATTTTGCGCATCTTGTCGAGTCTTTGATCACCCACTTTTAATACTAGGCGATCTCTGTACATACAGTGAATAATGAAATGAAGGATGATATGCTAAGAATAATTTTTGCATATTCATCAATTCAAAAAAAAATGTTATGATTAAGCTTGCACATAAAATTGAAACACCAACCTATGACCAATCGCCCATACAAATGCATCGGTAAATATTTTCCATTCACATTTAGGAGTCTCTGAAAACCACAATCAATACCATTGAGTGTGTGGTGTATACTACCTTTATCATTATTTCTTAGATTTACAATAACATCTTTTTAGCAAAATGTCCGATTTTCTTCCATATTAATGTGAACAAATATAAACAAACATAGATTGATTCTATTGGTTGAGCCAACAATTTCAGTTATTAGGGAGGTTAAGATCGCACTATTTTGATGAACGTACAAATGGAATGTGTAAACTTATGGTCCCCTATTCACGGTGTTATAGCATGACGGTTACGTCAAGGCGATTTACAAAATTTTGCGGTAACGATAACAAATATGGCGGATGGGAAAGGCAGTATGTCCTCTTTCTCGCCTGTAGGCAATATTCACAGATAAGATTTCCTTTTAAACTAGTTCCATTCGGTGACATATATATGGATGGTTATCCATTTTGAAAGAATCTCTCGGGGGAGCACCAGCTCCCTTTATCTCTCCCCCTCTACCTGGCTACGAGCCTGTGTACTTAACCTCTCTAATGTTCATGATCAATACTAAATGTAACATTTTCACATTTTTTATATTTCTACTATTCATATTGACCAATCCCCAATCATGTCATTTTAACAGGTCCTTAATCCCTTGTTTTCTAGTCGTATGTGCTTTTATTATTCAGTTTCACAATCTATTGTTTTGAAATGCCAGTTTTACATGTTTGCATGCTAAGTTTGTTTTATGTTATGTTTTTTGTTCCATATATGGTTTACACATTCACTCAATTGAGTTGGGGTGTTGCCCCATTACTAGTTAATGTTGCCTAGAGTTTGTGACTCAAAGTATTTCAAATATATATTTAAGAAAAAAAATTATATTTGATTGCCACCCAAGGGTCTTCCACTCACCCATTACATAAACAAAACATGAACTCTAATAAAAATGCCAACAAGACTGCAAGGGAAACTTAATCTATGAATTGGACTTTGCCATATCACATGTATTAGTCCTGGGACCAGGGAGGGGGAGGAGGGGGGAGGAGGGGGGGGGGTTGAGAGACAACCCTCTCCCCTAGGCACATTTTCTGTCAACATCCTGCAATTTTTCACCACTTTAGTACTTTTTAAGTGATGTTCGAATGATGCTTTCATTTAATTGCTTGCACTGATGGTTTCTCTTGAAAATTCATGCACATAAGGTGATCTAGTATTTCAACACAGGACCCTGAAAGCGCTATTTGAGCGAAGTAGAAGTATTCATAGTATTACTGTTTGTATTATTAATCTCTATGGTTTTTCAATAGGCTAACTCAGTCAGTGAATGCAGGATTAAAACACAACACGCATGAGTAATTCACCCACCTATGCATGTTATTATTGAAAAACATTGCCATCTTTTACATCACTTCTAAATTATTTTTGTAAACATGCATTTAAAGAGGTTAATTTTTTCAAAAAAAACTCAAAAACAAACTTCATGGAGTTCCTTACATAATTACGTGATGAAACATGTGTTCAAGTACAATGTAACTTTGCATGAAAATTTGTAAAAAAATGAGGGACGATGGTGAAAATGATGAAAGTATTTTGAAAAAGCTTGTTGATGGGTGGATTAAACATGGATTATAAGATAATCCAATTGATCTGGAAACTATTCTTTGAACTTTTCTTGAAGATTATAGATTCACCTTTCACAAGCATTTACTTTTTACAGCCAGGAACTACTCACAAAAAAATTATCAACTGTCAAAAGTCTGTTGCGATACTTTCACTGCTCCTTTATGTGTATGAGGTTATGACAATCCTAACTCAGAATGTGCTAAGTAAGTGCATACCTTTTTCATAGGTGGCTCTAGTGAAGTTCCACTTGTGACCTTTGACTTATCAATCTCATTGACGCCCTGATCTATAGTTTTAGGAGCCCTTGTATCTCCTGTCTGCAATATCCTTGTTGAGTGATGGTTGAAACGACGTATGATTGACAAGTTGGCAGATTCTTTGTTCACTTTGTCCATTGTGTCATTATTCTTAGTTCCATAGTCCTGCAAGATACAAGTAATTTTATGGTGACCGTACCATTTCTACAAGCATTTCATACTATTGATGGGTTCCAGGCCATAGCCAGGGGGATTCAGGGGGTTTTAGCAAACCTCCTGATCAAAAATCTGGCCATTCTGAGCACTTTTCAAGAGATTTTGGCCACTTTTGGGCAAGGCAAAGGCCCCTCTTTAACAAAAACTAATGAAGAAGCAAGAATCAAGCAATATTAAGAATCAGTTATAATAGGTTTCATTGGGAAGTACTTGGTAAAGATCTCACTTTCTAGTTTGTGAACACTTATTTTCAAAGATGCTGGAATTTTTGTGTGGAGGATTTATGACTAAAAGTGTGACATTTTCAGGATTTTCGAACCTTTATCAGGCTAACCTCAGTGGAAAAACTAGAAAAATTCACTCGTTTCAAATCAATACACAAAAGACATATTTAATGCCTTTTTTAATACTTAATGAATCCTAACAGATTTTCTTTATGTTGTCTGAGAGTAACCAAATTTTAAGTAAAATAACAAATTGCAAGAAATTCTTGGTAAAACTGCATAATCCAAAATCTTATCAAAATTCAGAAATGACATTCCCATGTTATTGCACGCCTAAATGCACATGTGTAGTCAATATTAGCATTATTTCGACCATTAACATCTTGCTCCGAATCTATTACAAACATCTTAAAGGAGTGGCTTGGTTTCACAAAGTTTGGGCATCTTAACAAAATTGCTAAATATATACAATGTACTTCACCTTTGTAAGATATAATATGGACAAAATGGGAATTTTTATCAGATTTGCAAAAATGATGATTCTTGATTGATCAGTTGAGCTATTTTAAAAATGAAGGGTAATCTCAATTAACAGTTGTTTTAAAATGCTAATTGCTTGATTAAAGTACAAGCTGTTTCTGATGGTGATCTTTACAAGTAAGGGGAGGCATCAAAAGTTAGACGTCGAATTGAAAACTAAATAAATCTAGTGAGGGGGAGGGGATTCAAAGCCATTTTAGTTAGCGATTTCAAATTTTTTTTCAAATTTGGCGATATAATTTTTCAAATTCTCAAACCAGGACTCAGTGATCAACTTTCATGGTATTTAATTTTGAGGGGAGTCAAAGTCAACACTAGATTTATTATAGTTTCCAAACTGACATCGAACTTTTGATGCCTCCCCTAATATTTTGTTATATATATAATAATATATGCATAATATATATGCATCACTTGACCCTATCATAAATACATAAATAATGTACATTTTATACTATTTATTTGAGCCAGTGAATTTAAAAAACAAGATTGACAACAAGGATAATAAATATAACCTTGATCTGAAGTGTGGAGTTTTTAATTATATTGGTTTGCATTTACCTTATTATAAACAAGATGATGAACTTATGTTTGTGCAGAAGAAAAATAGCATCCAGGTTGTTTCAAATCTCATAGATATCAACTCATCAAATCAACCAGAAACAAATACAGTAAAACCTCAGTAAATGGAACATCGTTGGTTTCATTAAAAAACGTCAGGAGGGGAGATCTCCCAAAGTTCAGCCTTTGTATTAATTCGATCACGTGGTACCCATGTGCTAGATCCATATAAGGCTTACACGACCATATAGGAATCCAACTGACCATTGCCCGCCATTTTGAATACCATGTGATAGATCCATATAAGGCTTGTATGACCATATAGGATGGCTAAGGGGAATCCCCGAATACGAAAGAATATGATAGTATTATGGGAGCTACTCACTTCTTCTGAAAAAATGTTACGCTCTGGAGGTGTTCCACACAAAGAGGTTTAATTAACAACCAGTACAACTGCAACGCCAAAGCGTAGCGAATCCCATCGAACAGCCATGGATGGCATTTTTACAAACAAAGTTTATAGCAAAAATGGCCGCCTTCTACCAAAAGTGTCATTTTTTTAATTTTTTTCAAAATGGCCACCTTCTACTAAAAGTGTCATGGGATAGTGTGTCATGCTTTTAGTATTCACATACCAAATATGAACAAAATTGCTCCACTACTTTTCGAGTTATAGTAAAATAGGTTAAAATGGCGGCCATTTTTTAAAAATGGCCACCTTTTACCAAAAGTGTCTTTAGACAGTGTGCAATGTTTATAGTATTCACATACCAAATATGAACAAAATCGCTCCACTACTTTTCGAGTTACAGCAAAAATCGTAAAATAACGAGTAAAGGCCCCCATTTTTCAAGATGGCTGCCATGTGCTTCTTTAATATCTACATTTCTAGCTTTATTAATGTCCTATTTAATTTTTTTACATCTGCTATTACAGTTTTACAGATTGCACCTAAATAACTGTAAATTTGGCACTAAAATGGCCGCCATTTTGAAATGAGTGGCCATTTTGAAAATCGGCTTTCGAGCAGAACTTCTACCCCCATAGGGTATATGTGTACAAAATATGAACAAAATTGGGCCAACGGTATTTGAGTTATTGCCCGGACGGACGGACGGATGGACGGACAGACAGACGGACGGACGAACGGACAGAGGCGTTCCCTATATCCCTCCGAACTTCGTTCGATGGGATAATTAAGTCAGTAGGTGACAAGACTGGAATGTGTTCCACTGACAAAGGTGTTCAATTTAGGAGGTGTTCAACTTGGCATGTTTTACTGTCAAAGTGTGTATTGCTAGCTGATAAACAGGTAACATTGAAATACCTGTATAGCCATCAGCACATTAAGAACAGTAATTAAAAAATAAGAAAAAGTATAAAATGAAATCAGTTAACAGTTTGGAACTATCATTTAGATTAATTGTGTGCATAACATTATGTTTTATCATGCTATTTGGAATGTATCAATTAGATGGCACATTTACAAAAATATCAGGATCAAGGTCAGTAAATAATGAACATGAACAAAGGGTATTTAAGAATCTAATGGATCAAATGGATATAGATACATTAAGAAAATATTGGTTGATCCCTCCTGGTTATAAGATCAAGCAAGATATCAATGACCATGACTTTTCACAAGTTGGTCAATCAAAAGTTGTTGATAAAATTCTGAATGCAAAAACAAATGGGATCTTCGTTGAATGCGGAGCTTCTGATGGATCCATATCAAATACAAAATATTTTGAAAATTACAGGAATTGGACAGGCCTCCTCATCGAACCAACCCCAGAATTTCAAGGTATTCTGCATGATGAACGTCATGCCTGGTTATTAAATGCATGCATAGGAATTAAAAATCAAACAGAGAAAAGTATCTTTCAACTCGGCCCCAAAAATTGGGGCTGGTCAGGTTTACAGGATACGATCCTACCTCGTAATAAAAAAACAGCACTCAACCAGAACACAACGAAAATTGTCGTACAATGCTTTCCATTTGCTACAATTTTGAAAGCCCTTGAATGGACAACTGTGGACTATTTCTCATTGGATGTTGAGGGAGCAGAAGAAGCTATCCTTAACACTATTCCATTGAATGACATTCATATAAGGGTGTTTACCGTAGAATTTGCAGGCTCTGGAAGTCATAAGGAAGATGCACTAAAACTACAGAGACTGCGAAGATTTTTTGCTCAGCGTAACTACACAGAATGGGGTATCCTAGGCAAAACTCAAAGTTTCCCACTTGGACTAGATGTTGTGTTTTACAATCTATGATTAATGAAACAACTACAAAAACACTATTTGTGATTAATTGGTTCTAGATTTCAACATGAATTCATTTGATTTATGAAAGGGACAGTCTTTTTCTGATTTAGTGTCAAATTATCTTAGTTTTAAAAAATCAAAACAACTCATTTTCATCTAAATCTGAATATATGAATATTATGTAGATTTCATGTCATTCGAAAATTGACATAACAAGGAATGCAATAAACAAACTAGTCTATTCTTTATTCTTTGTGTACATTTAAAGCTGTTTGTTGGTCTTAATTAATTAAAATGAACTATTTAAAGAAAAAATTAGGTTAAACCTATTCATCTCACAAATTAACAACTTGGTTTAACAGTTTATTGATGCATACATACATGAATATAAAACCTAACAGCAACAATGAAACACTTCTTAATTATGAATGACAAATTGTATTTCACTTATAAGGACAAAAAAATTAAACTACAAACATTAAAAGTGAACTGCTCAATTAAATCAACGTCATGTTTACTTGATAATAAACAAGGCACAGACGTGAACAATATCGTACCTAAAACACAGCATTGTGGTCTTGTTGACCAAGAAAGCAAGATGGCCGCAGAAAAGTTAATCAGCTCTAGAACTTATCACTGTGTAACATACGTAAAAATTTGAACGCTTTGGCTGGAAACCTGTAGACAAGTCTTGAAAGTGAAGATTTTAGGACGGAAAATCCAAAATGGCCACCTTAAGATTTACGCAGAATGCCCAAAAACTCATCAGTTCTTGACGTTGATATGTAAAAAAATCCCTGAAAATTTCAGATGAATCCCTCAAATGGTTTGGCTGGAAACCTGTAGACAAGTCTTGAAAGTGAAGACTTTAGGACGGAAAATCCAAAATGGCCACCTTAAGATTTACCCAGAATGCCCAAAAACTAATCAGTTCTTGACGTTGATATGTAGAAACATCCCTGAAAATTTCAGATGAATCCCTCAAATGGTTTGGCTGGAAACCTGTAGACAAGTCTTGAAAGTGACGATTTTAGGACGGAAAATCCAAAATGGCCACCTTAAGATTTACCCAGAATGCCCAAAAACTAATCAGTTCTTGACGTTGATATGTAGAAACATCTCTGAAAATTTCAGATGAATCCCTCAAATGGTTTGGCTGGAAACCTGTAGACAAGTCTTGAAAGTGAAGATTTTAGGATGGAAAATCCAAAATGGCCACCTTAAGATTTACCCAGAATGCCCAAAAACTAATCAGTTCTTGACGTTGATATGTAGAAACATCCCTGAAAATTTCAGATGAATCCCTCAAATGGTTTGGCTGGAAACCTGTAGACAAGCTTTGAAAGTGAAGATTTTAGGACGGAAAATCCAAAATGGCCACCTTAAGATTTACGCAGAATGCCCAAAAACTAATCAGTTCTTGACGTTGATATGTAGAAACATCCCTGAAAATTTCAGATGAATCCCTCAAATGGTTTGGCTGGAAACCTGTAGACAAGTCTTGAAAGTGAAGATTTTAGGACGGAAAATCCAAAATGGCCACCTTAAGATTTACCTAGAATGCCCAAAAACTAATCAGTTCTTGACGTTGATATGTAGAAACATCCCTGAAAACTTCAGATGAATCCCTCAAATGGTTTGGCTGGAAACCTGTAGGCAAGCTGAAAAGTGAGACGCCGCCCGCCCGCCCGCCCGCCCGCCATTCTGCCCGTCAAGCTGACTTTTGTTAGGTATGATAAAAAGTGTTAACATAAAACACATCAATCAGGCTATTTGCAGTCAGTACTTTATTTCATTACATACCTCTATGTATTCTGCATGCTTATTGATCAATTCAATGTCACATGATAAAATAAATGTACTTATTCCCTGGAGAGTCCTAAATTCCTATTTTCTGCATACTTATTGGTCAATTTGTGGTCACATGATAAGATATAGATGGACTAATTTCTTGGAGAGTCCTAAATTCCTATTTTCTTCAAACTTATTGGTCAATTTGTGGTCACATGATATGATATAGATGGACTAATTCCCTGGAGAGTCCTAAATTTCTATTTTCGTCAAACTTATTGGTCAATTCATGGTCACATGATATGAAATAGATGGACTAATTCCCTGGAAAGGCATAAATTCCTGTTTTCTGCATGCTTATTGGTCAATTCATGGTCACATGATATGAAACGAATAGATGGACTAATTCCATAGTAGTCCTAAATTCCTGTTTTCTGCATGCTAATTGGCCAATTCATGGTCACATGTTAATTCCCTGAAAAGTCCTAAATCCCTGCTTTCACAAATTACAGGGAAGATAAAAAGTACTTATGACCGGTGACACCCTGGATATCCAAGAAAGACAACTGAGCATAATATCACTGGGCACTTCAACAGACAACAAATATTTACTAGTACATGTACAGTAAAACAAAATATCACCTGTCCAATAAAAGAAATGATACTTCACTTTTTTGTGATCTTATAATGTGGGGCCTATGGGGAATCTCTCCGACCTAAGAGTCATTCTTTATTTGGAAAATTAAATTTTCAAACTAAACAAACAATTTTTGAAACCACAAGACATTATTAGATGTAATTTTACATGTAGATTATATCATTTTGACTGAATTTCCAATATTTGATGATGTAAATCAAGATCATTTCTACTTGCATCTAGGCTGGGAGACTAAATATCCCAGATAAATTGTTTATAAATCTTCTTACATTGCACCAGCTAATATATGGTGAAAATAAAGGAGAAAGTCATTTTGAAAACAGAATTCCATCATTACCAGTATTCAGTTTCACATATGGAATTTAGAAGTTGAAAGTAGGCAAAGATAAACTTTAGATAATATGTAATAAAAGTAAAAAGCTTTTTCTTGTGACAGGAATCCATTGCAGATATATGATGAGTCATTGGTGTCCAACTTGTACTTATGTATTATACAGTAGTTTGATTTCATCAGACTCTGTTAAAGCAGACTAGACTTTCAATTCATGATATCACTGGGATATTATTTATTGAGTAGACTTAATTTCATTTATATCTAAACTCTTTTACCATATAAAAGTAAGACCTAAAAAGATATATGAAAAATTTGTGAGTGAATTTGCAGTTGAACATGGCTGGAAGTCTAGCAAGATTTCTAAATACATCTGTATGTAATCGAAGAGTTATTCCATTAGGAATTAATTTTTAGATTGTTAATCTTCTTCATATTTAGATCTAACTAACACCAATTAATAAAGTTATGATAGTTTCATCAAAATAAACCCACTAATATAGATTAAACTCAATTAAAACTGTAATTCGGCCTATTAGAATGGCATCATCCCAGCAGCAGCATTTACTCTCCTGTGGATTAATCTGTACAAGCGTAAATAAACAAAGTAACAAGCTAGCATCAGCACTGTTCCACAACTAGTTACTTTGACGGAACACAGGCCAGTTGAAATGCTTCGTTACAAAGCAATTTGACAAAAAGCTTCGTGACGAAGCAATTTTGGGCCAGTGTAACACCTCCGCCTTCGTTAGAAAAGCTTAGTTGATAACGAAGCAATTGAGTAGAAAATTCAACGAAGGTTAGATCCCAACGAAGCTTTTTTTGCCAGTGTCACAGGTACCTTCGTTAGAAAATGCTTAGTTGGCGGTTTGCGCATGCGCGTAATAAAGAGCACATTCATCATTTTGTATTAAATGAGAGGAATCGCGAGAAAAGAACATGTTTTTAAGTACGTATTATCATAATGCTACGTTTTGATTAAAATGATTACCTGACCTCAAACCCTAAACGCCACTTACAAATGTAATTTCCTGTCTTTCGTAGCATTTCATTCGATTCCCTGCCTTTACTCGCATTGATATGACAAAAAGTATTAAATCTAATTTGAAAATGACTGTATTCCCGCCTTCTATAAACTGTAATCAAAGTCAATGCTTCAGCTGGGTTATATTCGAGATTAATAACCCAGTTAATACGTGTAATGTGTGACGTCATAACGGTGGGTCGTAGTAATGGCGAACCATGATGAATATTCAAAACAATTTGGTGAATTTTCATGTTCGAATCGTAATATAGACCTCAGAGCAGGGTTACTAGTTTCGAATAACACGCCGCTGGTCTCGGCACAAAAGCTTTCGAACCCCTCACTCCCTTCGGTCGTTCGGGGTACAGAAAACATTTGTGTCGAGACCAGCTGGGTGTTATTCGAAACTAGAAACCCTGCTCTTTGGTCTATATTTCTTAAAAAACGCAGGTTTTACCGTATATGTTTACGGTAGTTTTGAAACGTTTATCTAATAATCTATTAGCGAATAAACCTCCAATATTTAAATGCCCCTCTTTCGGAAAACTCCGTCTCAAGTGTGGAAGGGTAACCTTTTGAAATTACATAAGATATATTTACTAAATAGAAAGTTGTGGCATACCTGTTTAATATTTAGATTTTCTTGCGCCTCGAATAATCATACCATGAATGTAATTTTAAAGGTGTTAAAACCAAGATACTGATACTATTGCTTCCCGATGAATCACATCAGGGAATTTAGCCGATTGGATTGATTCGAAAATGTATCTCTTCAGAAATTGTATTCAACTGGCTATCGCCCCATTGCAATACTTGTACTAGTCGTTTCATTATTTTATTCTTAAACTTCGACGATTTTAAATTGTAATTGAATTTAAACTTCATGTTTAAATATGCGCCTGCCCATAGGAAAACCGGTCTTATCACAAAAATTTAAATTGTTCTACAGAGCCAAAATTGTACTCAAAATTAAGAGGGAAATGTTCTAAATTCAAATTTGACATTTTGGTCTATATATGCAAGGAAAAATTGTTAAAAAACATAAGTCATGGCTCATTTGAAAGGTCTCTTGGTGCTTTTCAAGATAAACAAAAAACCAGAACAACGGCAACGCCGAAGCGTAGCGACTCCCATCGAACAGTAATGGCTGGCAGTTTTACAAACGAAATATATAGCAAATATCATAAAACAACACACCAGAAAGGCCACCATTTTCAAAATGGTTGTTCACTAGCCAAGTTGTCATCAGAAAAAATAATATTCTTTTAAGTAGCCACCTATAAAATTTTTGAAAAATCGCACTCATGTACTTGTAAAATAACACACATAAAAATGGTGGCCATTTTTCAAAATGGCCGCCTACTACCCAAAGTGTCATTAGACAGTGTGCCATGCTTATAGTTTTCGCATATAAAATATGAAACATACCAAATATGAACAAAATCGCTGAACTACTTTTCAAGTTATAGTAAAATACGTTAAAATGGGGCCATTTTCTAAAATGGCCACCGTCTACCAAAAGTGTCATTAGACATGCTTTTAGTATTCACATACCAAATATAAACAAAATCGCTGTACTACTTTTCGAGTTATAGTAAAATACGTTAAAATGGCGGCCATTTTTCAGAATGACCACCTTCTACCAAAAGTGTCATTAGACCATGCTTATAGTATTCACATACCAAATATGAACAAAATCGCTTCACTACTTTTTTCGAGTTATAGTAAAATACGTTAAAATGGCGGCCATTTTTCAAATTTTTTTTCAAAATGGCCGCCTTCTACCAAAAGTGTCATAGGACAGTGTGTCATGCTTATAGTATTCACATACCAAATATGAACAAAATCGCTCCACTACTTTTCGAGTTATAGTAAAATAATGTTAAAATGGCGGCCATTTTTCAAAATGGCCGCCTTCTACCAAAATTGTCTTTAGACAGTGCGCAATGTTTATAGTATTCACATACCAAATATGAACAAAATCGCTCCACTACTTTTCGAGTTACAGCAAAAATCGTAAAATAACGAGTAAAGTCCGCCATTTTTCAAGATGGCTGCCATGTGCTTTTTAATATCTACATTTGTAGCTTTATTAATGTCCTTTATAATTTTTTTACATTTAAAACATATTGCTATTACAGTTTTACATATCACACCTAAATTACTGTAAAATCGGCACTAAAATGGCCGCCATTTTGGAATGAGCAGCCATTTTGAAAATCGGCTTTCGAGCAGAACTTCTACTCCAATAAGGTATATGTGTACAAAATATGAACAAAATCGGGCCAACGGTATTTGAGTTATTGCCCGGACGGACGGACGGACGGACGTACGGACGGACGGACGTACGGACGGACGGACGTACGGACGGACGGACGGATGGACGGACGGACGGAGGCGTTCCCTATATCCCTCCGAACTTCGTTCATGTACATGTACATGTATATATGAATTAACGTTTCAAAACTACCGTATACAAATACAGTAAAACCTGCGGACAAGGAACGGTGGCCAAAATTGTTTTTTTATCGACAGATATTTGCCACAGAGAGTCTACATGTTTTAGGCCAGCCCCAAACACTATTGGTGTGTCCTAAGACGATGCTTACAACTGATATTCAAGTTTCTTCCTATTTGTGCCATTTTCAAATTCAACGGACGGCTGATGGATTAACACACTAATTTATGTCCAACTCACTCAAATATGCATGGAATATTGGCGAGACAGGTAATATTCATATTAAAATGAAATGGTCATGAAATATTAGTTAAACCACCAGCCACCGGGATATGTTAGTAATAACTGATCTGAGAAGTCCATTTGGAAATTGAATGTTTTATACGATATTACATACTAGTCCTCTGTATAAACCCCAAATACAATTCCTCCTAGTAATTAAAATAGGCCTTATTTTATTCCATATCTTTTCCAAAAGAAATGATAGAAAAATGAAAAGAATACTTGTAATCGTATTGACAGCTGAAATATATAAAAATCGAAATGATAGGAAAAATGTATGGACATGTGTATGGAATGATCACATTCATCTGGTTTTATTTTCCCGAGAATTTTGAACTAGTCGTTTTCTGTGCTGAATTGTTAAAATAAAGATCAAAAGTTAGATTTTTGAGTTTGATCATTGATTTACATCAAAAGAATAAAACTATTTATAAATAAGTGGGTGGGGCAGATGAGTAATGCGCACGCGCAACGAAGCATTTTAAGTGCAGTGTAACACCAAATAATTGCTTCGTTAGGGTTGGATAAAGTCAGTGTGGACACAATTTTTCGCTAACCTTCGTTACAAAAATGCTTCGTTAGACTCAACCCAGCAGTGTAACAGGTACCAATGTAACAAAATGGATGAACTTCCTGGTTACAAGTTTTTTTGTTTTCTCCAATTAAATCTACTTATAAGTCAAATTATTTGGCACAAAGCTAGACAATATACATTGTAGTCTAGTTTTAATAGTACAATAACGTCATTTCGAAGGGCAATATAGTGAAATATTGGACCGAGGGCCGAAGGCAGAAATGACGTTATTAGTATTATTACCACCGTTAATGAACAGGACTGAAACAGCAAGAAAATCTTACGCACTAAACGATATCTAATTTCCCTGGGAAAATTGCTGGTGGAGAATTGCATTCTTGACTGGCAGTATTGACCGCCACTATGACGTCACAAATTGGTCATGTCGATATAGTAAAATGAATGCCTTCTAAACTAGCACTAAAACCCCTAGAACTGGCCTAGCAAGGTGGTAATAATACGTTTCTGTGATTTGGAATTTTTTTTGTAAATGAAGTTGCAATTCATATATTTAGCCTCTCGCTTTTGTTACATTGACAAAAGTCTGTTATATTACCAATGTATGTTACTTTGCCTACTTACATCAATGTAACAAAAGCGATGGTCTAAATACATGAATTACAGCTTTATTTAAAATTAAAATTCCAAACTGAGAGCATTTTTAAAGCTAGACTAAACTGTCTAACTTTGTGCTAAATGATAATCCGCAACATGACTTTTACTTATGTTTAATCGAGAAAAACAAAAAACTCGTATCCAGGAAGTTCATCCATTTTGTTACATTGACGTTCAGAGAGTAATTAATCATGTTCTGTATTACCTTCATTATATTTAGGACTGCATGAGATATCTTGCTTATTTTGTCTTAAGATTTTTGGGACTAATAAGGCCTAGATAATTTAATGACGTACCACTGCTGAAAACATCAGTAAAATTGGTCAACAAGCGCTGTAAAAAGAGTCTATTCCTTATTGATCAACCCTCGTATCGAAAATACAAAATCAATAGTGAAGTTTTTATTTGCATTTGAGTTTGTGTTTTACTTCATAAAAGTTACTGAGATACGCAAGATGGATTTTTGTGCACTCAAATTCAATAAAAAGATTAGAGCTTTATTATGTGTTACAGCTTTTGTGCTAATTTATTTCAAGTTTTTAAGATTAGAGCAAGTCAGAAAAAAGGTAGCAGGAGGATTAAAGCATCAGCAATTTTTTGAAGATGGTAAGTAGCCATGTAAACTAGATGAGTAACAGTCAAACTTTAAAGTTTTAATTAAATATTTGCCATATTGATTCCATTTTTGCCTTTAGGACTATGTTGCCAATTTAAAACAACATTTTAACATGAAGATTGTCAAGAAGTTTTGCTGAAAATATCGATTTTCAATAATACGGTCCAAAATACCAATTTCTAAAAACCTCAGGAATTTCGATTTGACTAAATATTTATTTTTTTGAAAAAGATTAGGTTATTTCAAGATCATGGGGAATATTCCAAAAGTGGTAGCAAACTTATAGGAAGAAATCTGTAAATCAATGAGGGCATGTGGTAGCATGTGGCATGAGGGCATGCGGTAGCAAACTTATAGGAGACATCTCAAAATTAATGAGGGCATGTGGTAGCATGTGGCATGAGGGCATGCGGTAGCAAACTTATAGGAGACATCTCAAAATTAATGAGGGCATGTGGTAGCATGTGGCATGAGGGCATGCGGTAGCAAACTTATAGGAGACATCTCAAAATTAATGAGGGCATGTGGTAGCATGTGGCATGAGGGCATGCGGTAGCAAACTTATAGGAGACATCTCAAAATTAATGAGGGCATGTGGTAGCATGTGGCATGAGGGCATGCGGTAGCAAACTTATAGGAGACATCTCAAAATTAATGAGGGCATGTGGTAGCATGTGGCATGAGGGCATGCGGTAGCAAACTTATAGGAGACATCTCAAAATCAATGAGGGCATGTGGTAGCATGTGGCATGAGGGCATGCGGTAGCAAACTTATAGGAGACATCTCAAAATCAATGAGGGCATTCGATTATATATAAATATCTATCAAACAATATGTGAACAACCTCTTGAATTAGAACATTTATAACAAATACTTGTATGTTTAGAACCTCTTTGAGTATATTCTGTGAAAATGAAAATTCCATAGAAGAAAATGAAAGAGTTGTTTTAAAAGAAATCGGAAAATTCTTCTTCTTTCTCAGCTATGATTGAATTTAAATTAAAGGACAACTGAAATAGATTTTCTCAACTTGCAGCTACAAAAATGTGGTTTTCTTCATTGTAAGCCCAACTTAGAGTTCTTGCGATAGCCATTATAGAAGAAATCTTAGATAACTGTTAATAGTCATAAATAATGTAATAAAATTAACTTATCCATCAGATTGGCCCCCACGTGATTAGTAACGTCATACATAATATATAGTTTTGGTTTATTGGTCCCTTGGTAATCACGACTTCATGGCAACCATATGATTTTTGTGTAAACAAATAACAAAACATCTTGGCATTATGACGTCATGATTAAAAAGACCAAAACGGGCCAAGTGGGGACCAGTGAGAGATCACGTGGGGGCCAATAACATCACAACCTATTCGAATATTGCTTATTAGGCAGTTAAAACGATCGTTAGAGTGAAATAATTTTCACAATACTGATGAGAAAACATGTCCAAATACATTTATTAAAAAATTATATTGATTCCTTTAGGTCAAAAATACCATTTCATATCTGCTTTAACATTTCTTCAGATATTGATGTGTCCACAAATTTGGAATGTGGTGAAATATGTAGCTATGAAGTAAAAGTTGAAAAACCAGGAAAATATTATCCATTTCTCCAAAAAGCTGTAAACTGTGAATCTATAATGGGACGCATGGCACTCAATCCAGAAACACCAACACCTCCGCCAAAGAAAATTCCAGTGAAGATGTTTGAAGAGTTTACTCAAAATGGGGAGCTTCCAAGCAATGAGTATTCGTATTTCGATGGCACTACTATTGGAAAACAAGAAAACTTTTCAACAGATCATATCAATGAACTCATAAACAAAGATAAAAAAGGGATCATTTTTGGAGATTACGGAGTTCCTGAGCCTAAAAAAGCAATTGCTGCATATGTTAAGGATATTAAAAACAAGCGTGGAGTTGTAATTGGCTCTTTATCACCCTGGCTTGAAGCACTGGCTTTATCTGCAGGTGCAGAGCACATGACAACACTGGAATACAACAACAACATGTTTCTCCACCCTAAGATAACCAAAATCCATCCGTATGATATGGCAAGAAAATATAGAGATGGTAGTTTTCAAGCATTTGATTTTGCTTTATCATTTTCATCGATAGAACATTCTGGACTTGGTCGCTATGGTGACCCTCTTAATCCCTATGGTGATCTAGAAGCTGTTGCACAAGTTTGGTGCATGCTCAAACCAGGTGGGATATTTCAACTAGGAATTCCTGAGACAAATGGTAATAACTCCTTCATGGAGTTTAATGCGCATAGAGTTTATGGACACAGTAGGCTCAAGCATTTAACAGCCAATTTTGAAGTGCTTGATCATTTCAATGCATATCAGGGTGTTTGGGTTTTGAAAAAACATAGTGCTCATATCTGTATGTCATAGTGCTCATATCTGTCACAAATAATGTTACATTTTTTTTGCAAAAAACGAACCAAATTTTTGAATGAAACAGATACGAAAAGGACAAAAATCAAAACTAGAATGCTAACTGGTTGAGACATCATGCACGTAAAAAGGCAATCTTTTCATTAGAAACTTGTATATACAAAGTTGATTGAATTCAATTAACAATGATGTTAGAACATGAAAGGAATAATGTAAGAAATATGTAAGGAATAAATTGATGTAATGTATATATAATATCAACAATGCCGCGGAAACATGTAATTATTCAGATAAAAAATTGTAGACTTTTAGGAAACTTTTAATAACTATGGCTCATATCCTCATACATATCACTAGTAATCAGGGTTTGGTGTGAATGGGACATTTCTGGTGTTAATTGGTATGAAAAATAATTTTACTACTACCTAACACCAAGTCACACCATAAAACTGGTGTGACTTGGTATGAAAAGATTAAGAGATTAAACCCCTGCTGTTCAACACTGAGTCATGCTGTTTGGCTGGTGTGAGATGGTGTTAGAATAAATTTTAATCCCTTTGATCTCTACAAATCAAAATCCACACCAAGTCACACTGAAAACTTGGTGTTACTTGGTAGTAAAATTTGAAACTTGATTTTCATAGTTCTTGATTGCAATTTATAATTCCTTTAATCTTTTGATCTGCTTATTATTGTATTTTTTCTAAGGGATTTGTCAACATGTCTAGAATGGAAACGAAACTTGAATTTTTATTTAAGAACATGTTTATTTATCATTTATTACTTGATTTTAGTATATGTTTAAAACTTTAATAGTATTCTTATAGGTTTAATTTGAGTCTAATTCATTTTTTTCCAAATAACTAGAGAAAAAACTTAATCGTCAAACATTCTAATTATTTTTAATTGTTTTAAACCTTGAAGATTGAAAAAAAACTTGATTTGTCAAGTTATTAAAATAGCATTAATGGATGAGTGTCACTAACAGGCCGGATTAGTGAAGCAATTGAGCAGCTGAGTATAATAAACAAAAATATCAAACATTGATGTCATGTTTTTTTTGGTATTGCTACATTGTTTGAATAGATATGACTTAACATCTAATGAGCCTCATTTTGCACATACAGATAAACAAGCATAGTAAAAAAAGTAAGGTAATATGTAATGAACTACCCATCACTGCCATGTTATTAATACATTTAAATGAAAATTGACAAGGATGGGCAAATGTGCCCATACTGTAAACATAATGGAATGACCTGCTCAGAGTGTCATTGAAGTGTGTGCAGATGACAATTTGACTACTCATAAATGTCAGGTTTAGAGTCAATAATAGGATTAGTATGCCCATAGATGATTCCTAATTGCCCATAGATAGTCCAAATGTGCCCATACAGTACTGTTAACATAATGGAATGACCTGCTCAGAGTGTCACTGAAGTCTGGGCAGATGACAATTTGACTACTCATAAATGTCAGGTTTAGAGTCAATAATGGGATTACTATGCTCATAGATAATTCCTAATTGCCCATAGATAGTCAAAATGTACCCATACAGTACTGTAGACATATATAAAGGTCAAATGGATGAAAGATATCACCATTCCATTAGTAATTGATTTCAACTTTAAGATGACAAAACTATATGCAGTACAGTGGGACTTCTCCTTCTGGAGACAATGGGCTAGACATAATGAAATGACATGCTCAGAGTGTCACTGAAGAGAGGGCAGATGACAATTTGGCTACTCATAAATACTACCCATATATTCCATCATATGGTAATGGACGTTTTGGCCCCATGTATGCTCAATGGACTTATCCATTTGTTGTTCAGTGTTGGGTGGCACGCCAGGCCCTGAACAAAGAGCATTAAGAAGCAACCATCATGGAAACACATGCAGTTTACGATTGGGTGTCCCATATGGCATTAAGTGGTCAGGCAGCTAAAGTCACCAAGAAAGTTCCATCAGAAACCCCCAAGACTATGACAGAGTATATGTCAATGTCACCATCTACAGATAAATGTGGGACATTCTCTTTGTTAAAAGAGGACTATAGGAGCTTGAGAACAATTGCACATTTTTATGAAAACCTCTACCCTAATGAGAAACCAAATTTATGTGACATTGACCCAATATGTAAGTTTGTTGGGGAGTGGTAAATATCAAGTGATAATAATGAATGCATCATATACAAACCAGATACATAAACAACTAAAATGAACTCTTCTGCATATATAAAAATTAAAACTGAAATGAGATTTGGTTTAATTGAGAAAATTGTAACTCACAAATTCAAAAGTAAATTGGATGCCTGGGCTATTGTGTCTTTATTCCCACGGCCAGAAGAGACAGATTCCTTCTTTCATTCTCATAATATTAAATGTGATACTAAAATATATCACTTGTCTCTTTTGAGCAAACTCTTAGCTGTAGCTGTTGAAGGAGATAGAGTTTGGTTTGTAAATTACAAATAAGATGAAGTGTTATCCTTTTAGTTATATGTATATTGTTGTACATGGCTAGCATATTATTTATTACGATAAAAAGACTAAATGATTTCAGTAAGTACACATAAGTAATTGCTTCTGTTGATTTGTCCACTTAGGAATACAATTTCAATTGTGATGATTGAATAAATATAAAACTAATTTTAGAATTAATTTATTTTAATAAATCATAGTGGATTTAATTATGAAATTACTTTATTGCTGTATTGGAACACTGTACTAATAATCTATAAAAACAAAAACAATAAGTATAAGGCAATCAAGAGATCAAATACATGTTAAAATGCAATCAAGGATTAAGAAAATGAAGTTTTATGTTTTACTACCGATTCACACCAAACTTTCAGTGTGACTTGGTATGAATTTTTGTTTGTAGAGATCAAAGGGATTAAATTTGATTTTCATACCATCTCACACCAGCAGTATGGTGTGACTCAGTGTTGAACAGCAGGGGTTTAATCTCTTAATCCTTTCATACCAAGTCACACCAGTTTTATGGTGTGACTTGGTGTTAGATGGTAGTAAAATTATTTTTCATACCAATTAACACCAGAAATGTCCCATTCACACCAAACCCTGATTACTAGTGTATGGAATAAACTTCATATATATGAAGTACATCTTCTTATTTGGAACTCTTAAAGTTTCAGATTTGCCAAATGACAGTTTTGTACTTCATTTAACTTTCAGATGTCAAGGGAAACTGCAATACAATAAAATCTCAACTGGACAAACAAGTGTTTGTTTTAATTTCTACCTGTCATACAAATATTAAGATATAGGTATATTCTTATATACAGTAAAACCTGTCAAAACATAAAATCCTAATATTATTAATAAATACAGTTTACATAGATCCCTCCTTCAAAGCCTAATAAAAAATAATATAGAGCCCCGTAGATATATGTCTTTAATTATATAATCATAAAAAATATTTACCTCATCAAGGGTCGAGTCTGACATATGCGTAAGGTCTACCAAGGGGTCGGCTGAACACTCTCCTATTGCACTCTGTATATCTGAATCATACAAATACATTAAAAAATATACAAATAAATTAACACATATTGAGATATTAAGTCTTGTTTGACCCGAACAAAAACTACCTGCTTAAAAGGAGTAATGTGCGTACTGATCAAAAACATCATCCATATAGTAGATGTAGAAAGGGTTTATCTTCTAGGCATTTGAACAAGTTCACTTGAAATCAAGAATCAGTCAAGGTCAAACAATTAATATACAGGTATTTAGCATTTCATGGGGGCTGCTGCCATGTGGGGTCTGCTGTGACCCTTGGCGATCCACTCAAAACAGGTAGATGGCTAGTTTGAACTAATAACATAACATTATAAATACAAACACCTAAACAAAAAGCCATGATTGATTGGTTGATTGATTGGATTATCTCTTAAGCTGTCCCTAATCCACCCATCTTCACCAATTTTCCCTAATTCTGACGCAATTTTCACCAAAAATGCAGGCCTTTTTAATAATTTTTAGAGCAGAACATTAAACACTTTAACAGATGCAAAATTTGTTTGGGTTGAATTTTTGGCTCACTCGGTATAAGACAACACTTTGATAGTATGCATGAAGTCATATGTTAGGTAACAGGTGATGATGTAATCTACTTTTGATGGCAAATTCATTTTAGTATGAATGAAAAAGTGGCAGGTGCTATTTATATTCAATGGGCCATATAGGTTGAATAATAGGTTGATCTGGCAGCTGTTAGTTGAATTCGCGAATACTACTTATCATGGGCTTTCAAACTACGGCTTACCGAGGCTATTAGTTCTCATAAGGGTTCAATTTTTAAGTTTTAAAAGATTATTCAATCTTAATGCTATCTTAGAAGTATTAAACTAGACAACAGCAACTCTAAAGCATAGCAAATCCCATCGAACAGCCATGGCTGGCATATTTACAAACAAAGAATATAGCGAAAATGGCAGCCATTTTTCAAAATAGCCACCTTCTACCAAAAAGTGTCATTAGACAGTGTGCCATGCTTATAGTATTCACATACCAAATATGAAAAAATCGCTCCACTACTTTCCGAGTTATAGTAAAATACGTTAAAATGGTGGCCATTTTTCCAAAATTGCCGCCTTCTACCAAAAGTGTCATTAGACAGTGTGCCATGCTTATAGTATTCACATACCAAATATGAACAAAATCGCTCCACTACTTTTTGAGTTATAGTAAAATACATTAAAATTGTGGCCATTTTTAAAAATGGCCCCCTTCTACCAAAAGTGTCATTAGACAGTGTGCCATGCTTATAGTATTCACATACCAAATATGAACAAAATCGCCCCACTACTTTTCGAGTTATAGCAAAAATCGTAAACTAACGAGTAAAGGCCGCCATTTTCCAAGATGGCTGCCATGTGCTTCTTTAATATCTACATTTCTAGCTTTATTAATTATTATTAATAATTTTTTTACATTTAAAACTTAATGTTAATACAGTTTACATACTGCACCTAAATTACTGTAAAATCGGCACTAAAAAGGGCGCCATTTTAAAATGAGTGGCCATTTTGAAAATTGGCTTTCAAGCAGAACTTATACACCCATAGGGTATATGTGTACAAGATATGAACAAAATCGGGCCAACGGTATTTGAGTTATTGCCTGGATGGACGGACGGACGCATGTACGTATGGACAGACGGATGGACGGATGGACGGACGGATGGACAGACGGATGGACGGACGGACGGATGGACAGACGGACGGTTGGACGGACGGACGGACGGACGGACGGATGGAGGCGTTCCCTATATCCCTCCGAACTTCGTTCAATGGGATAATTAATACACTCATAGTATTCATAGATGTGAAAGTCGTCTAGTCAAAGATAGATAGATATTGAGTCATAAAATAAAGCCAGAATTGTTAATTTTAGTTTTTATTGCTTGTCAAAATAGCGCCATTCAAAGGCTTGTTCAATAGGGAAAATCTATTCCAAAATAGTTTTAAATATGTCGGGGTATTCTGTGTTTCATTTTATTTAATCACAGCATGAATAAAGATGATTTTAGTCTCAGGGATCGTAAATTCACCCCAACACATGACAGTGTAATTTGTGCAGTTGAGCTTAACTGTGGATGATGAATCTATATTCCATATTGAATGATGGGGAGCAATCTAAATGTGGCAATATAGGTGACACCTTTTAGACCACTTTCTGGAATTCCCCAGCAAATGAAAAACGTTTTAGTGTAGATTGCTTCTATAGTGAACGAGCATTTCAATTAGGCACTTTCATGAAGGATAATATAGCAAAGATAAACAATTTTGCAATTCTGGCCTCATTTTATAAATAGAAAAATGTTAGATCTATATGACATACACGTAGGTCTACGAGTGCATTAATGCATCTACAATTCAGCATAGACGGAGATTGAATAATCTGAAACATGAGAATTGAACCCTTCAAAGACTGTATTATGTCCCGCGTACGTGGGTACGTGGGTACGAGGTACAAGTTTTTTTTATACAAAGCCCAACAAAGTATTGACTGAGGGAATAGAGTGATCGAGTGACAATATCATAATTATACAAGGCAATATATCTATTGTCAAAGGGTAAAACCCATAGCATTAAACTGTTTATTCCATAAAAAATCCTGGGATACCTAAATCAGCAAAAACAATCCAATATAATTTGAAATGAACAAAAAATGCAACAAATGTTTGGCCAAACCATTGGAGAAAATTATTATTTGCATTTACTCTGTATACAATGGTACCTGTATCAATACCTACTTCATGCACATAACACTATTCGAAAGATCATTTACAGCAAACCCCTTTACAGAAGGCACTTTCGAAACATCCGAGATGGTTGATGACAAAGAAAGATACACATGGGAAGAGTTAATTCAAATAAGATGGTATTGAATCATGTTTGTTGAAACATCGCAAATGTGTAATATTTCAAATATTCATTTACACTATTCAATACAAATATATAAACAAGTATTTTATCTTATGTGTTTTACTAGGTGTTAAACACATTTATGTTTTACTGTACATACTTTACAGGACACAGTCATGTTGACATATCCATGCTCATTTCTATAATCGTTCATTCTCCATTAAGCGTGACTTTTGAGGTGTCAAAATATTAATTTTTCGACATCAACCAAAATACTAGCTCTACTTAATTCATGGATGGCTATGGTCTGTGGATGAAAAATACCAAGTTTCACCAGCCTTGTGTCAAAATTTGAGAAGTTATGACTCATTGTATTAACAGTATGTTGTAACACACATTTAATTTACGAACCTAATTTACAGGACACCTCTAAATGCTAAAATGACAAATATTGTACATCACATACTTATTTCCTTGGTTGCATATCGATCTCATGGTCCTAACACGTAAATTGATATAAAAATCTAAGCTAATTTTCATATTTTCAAAAAGCGTGTGTCCGGTAAATTAATCTTGTAAATTAATTTAGGATTTCAACTAATTATAACACAAGAAATATGAAACCATGATTGGGAATCACTATGTAAAATCCCATGATTAATACAGTTAAACAAACATATCATTTGTTTTAATTCGTTTTAACCTGTTATCATAGGTTTATGTATAATACATAATTATAACAACGAATGATACAGAAAATTTGGGAGTTTCTCCTCTGATACTTGTATAATTTGTTTTAATTTGTTATCAGCTGTTATATTCCATCTGATTCAACTGGGAAAAACATATTATACTGGATGTATCATTTCTCTGCTCTTGCGTATAATTTGTTTACATTAGGTTACATGTTGTTGACACAGCGTGTTGACACTATCTTGTTGACATAGACATATTGAGTGTTTTAATAAAAGCGGGTATTGATAAATTAAGTTTTGACATTTGAAAGTTGTATTGAATTAATATAAATGATTTTTCATAATAAGTCACCAACTTCATGTTTTTAAAGAATTCTTGCCCGGCGAGTGGTTTGCTCTGGATTGCGAGAGAACAAAAACTTTGAATTAGGATTTTTCTTAATATGTATTTATTATTAATCTTAACAACTTTTTAAACCGTCTCACTGATTAAATATCATGCCAATTAATACCATAATTGTGTTGACAGGATTAAATGTGATATCTATGGAATAATAATTTAATGAACTCAATGGTCTAAATGATAAATAAGTTCATTATTTAGTCTTAGCTGACTAGTCTTGTATCATCAGAGTTGGATTGCAGATACCTCCCTAAATCAAATATTCAAAATTTACAAATTTACTTGTGTACGGGGTAGGGAAACAAGTCTCCATCCAACCACTAAAGTTTAAAAGGAGACTACATGTATAGTGTCCCGTGAATTCATTATAATTATCTTAGACAATAGTGGGAGTGTTAATTAATCGGAATGCAAGTTTGATATAAAATAACTCATTTGGATCAAATATTTAAATTTTACTGGAGTGCGGGAAGTGGAAACGAGTCTCCATTCAAGCACTAGATTCACTACTCATCACCTCCCCTCCCCCTTCCCCAATTATCCCTTATGACCCCAGAATGATCGTTTCTGTGCCCCCCCCCCCTGTCCATGGCAAGTAAGTAATCTATGTGTCTACAGATGGTTCACTGAATTCCGAAGTAAACAAAAATAATCTTATACACGTTTCCTTGGTTCCCATGATACTGCCTATAACTCAGGCCCGTAGACAGGATTTGCCAAGGGGGGTGGGTTCAGGTTTCAAAAATTTCCAGGGGGCGTTCACATTTGACAATTTTGGTCCAAATATGGCTAAAATCATTTGAGAAGTGCTCAAAATGGTGTAAAACTGCATGATTTTGAAAGAATTTTTGGCCAGGGGGGTTCGCCCTAACCCTACAACCCCTCCCCCTGGCTACGGGCCTGCCTATAATCTATAATACTCATTTATCAAAACAAATCTGTCTGATTAGTCTGTCTGATTACATTTTGTTCCCTGACTCAAACCAGAGACATATAAAACATATATATATATATTTTATATGTCTCTGCTCAAA